GGGGCTTTATTTATTGTTGTAGCACCCAACATGTTATGTGAAATATATTAGGTACTTGATAGATACTTTTCAATTAATGCTTAAATGAATGAACATCCCCCAGGTCACTTAAAACAGTCCTGGCCATTGACATGCACTTACTGAATATTTATTGAATTACTGAATATCATCACAAGCTACTAAAACCTTTGCCTTTAAATTATGTTTCTTTTTTTCTTGTTTCCCATGCCTCTCAAACCAGTTATTTTTTCCCTTTTGCAATCAGAATTCACTCAACTGTCAATGTTATGTTCCTTACAGCTCTTCTTCCCAGTAGATTAAACTCTTTTAAATCTTTTAATTTGTGATTTTAAGCCATTATTTTTTAAAAAAGATGTGGGTATCTGCTATGAGTTTAAGAAAAACACCTTGAAAATCTGACCTCAGGAACTTCCACTTTGACAGGATTTTAATGTCCACTAGAGAAGGTTAATAAACACTACCTCTATTTTGAGCCAAATTAATTTCTAATAAAAGAGCAGGAAGTGCTTACTGACTGAAATATGAAAGGGACACTTGAGGCAATCTACTCATTCCTGATAAAGGAATTAAGAAGCAAGGGGGAGGGGGCAAGAGGCCCTGTTTTCCCTAATTGAGCTTTTGATTAATTTGGAAGTGTTCTGGGAAAGGAGAAACAATGCAAGGCCATGTTATGTCAACACTGTCCTGCAAATTAGCCCTTTCCTTACTCTAAAAAAAAAAAAAAAAAAGTCCAGAGACCCAGCTATCTCTCAGGTGATGTTTTTTTCTCATTTTTCTTTAATAACTAACTTTCACAAATAACAGATTTTAATCACTGCTCTCACTTTCTCGTCATGCACTTTTTTAATTTTTGAAATACAGATTTGACCCTCGTCATTTGAATCACATTTGTCTCTGTGATCAATAACGATGGCTTTTTTTAATTTAATTTTTCAATGACAGTTGACATGCAATATTATGTCAATTTCAGGTGGACAACATAGTAGTTAGACATTTATTTACTTATGAAGTGATCCTCCAATTAAGTCTAGTATACAACATTATTGACTATATTCCCTACGTTGTCCTCTTTTAAATCACCTTTTAAAAAACATTTCACTGCATTTGATACTGTTAAACAGATCTCCACATTCTCTTCTCTTTTGAGATGAAATGCTATTTATTTGAATTTGCCATCTATGATGACCCTTTAGCTGAAATTCCTTCCAACACCCTCTAAATATAGACATTTCTTATGGATCTGTTCTTGATGTGTCTGTTTTCCTCTCTATATTTTATCCTTCAGAAATTTCATCTTCTTATTTGAATGACTTTCTATATGGCTTTGAGTAGTGTATCCCCAGTTCTAACTCCTCCCTTTGGCTTTATACCTAAGTTTCCCAAACCTCAAATATATTAAGATTTAGATTTATTAATATTCCCTTCAGCATTTACTTCTTCATCCTACGTTTTCTTTCTTTGTCAATAGTTCTAATATGATTCTACTTATCTAAGAGCTTTAGCTCTGACTCATCGGAGCCCAGAGCTTTTACATCAACTTTGTATGGGAGCGAATGAAGGGTGGCAAAATATGCCACCCCAAAATATGCCACCCTAGCATAAGGGGTATTTGAGATAAAAGCACTTGAGAAATAGCAAGTGCAAGGAAGGCATTCTAATCTCCCCCTTTCTTCCTGAAAACAGGAGCTAAAAACTCCCATGTAAAAGATGTGCTCTTTGGACCAAGAAAAAAGAAACATTCTTCAACAGGAATCAAAGTCAATAGAACTGTGTACATACAGACCTTGTTAAAATAACTCTTATCTGCCATTAGCCTCCCCACACAGTTTAGTTACTTTTCCATAATTGCCTCTCTTTGTTCAACCTAGTATGAAAGCATTTCTGTTTTGCCACTTCTTTGAGTCTTTATTTATTTATGAGGGATCCCATGTTACATAAAACTTGCATTAAATAAATTTGTAACCTTTTCTCCTGTTAATCTGTCTTATCTGTTTAATTTTCAGGTCCAGACAAAAAAGTTTAAGAGGGAAAGATAAAATTTTGCCTCCCCTACAGTATCAACCTCTAATGTTTCTACCTTCTACATCATTCTGCTTTTACCCTATTTTTATTATTTTTGGTTGGAGTATTATGAAACTTTTTACTTTTTAAAACATTTTTAGTTACAGTTTACCTTTAATATTATTTTATAGTAGTTTCAGGTATACAACATAATCGTTAGAAAATCATATACTTTTCAAAATATTCCTCCTTATATTTCAGTACCCACCTGGCATCATACATAGTTATTATAATGTTACAATATTATTTTATAGTAGTTTCAGGTATACAACATAATGGTTAGAAAATCATATACTTTTCAAAATATTCCTCCTGATATTTCCAGTACCCATCTGGCATAATTCATAGTTATTATAATGTTATTGACTATATTTTCTATGCTGTACTTTACATCCCCATGATTATTTTGTAACCACCAATTTATACATATTAATACCTTCACCTTTTTCACCCAACTTCCCAACTCCTCTCTCCTCTGGCAACTGTCAGTTTGTTCTCTGTATCTATCAGTCTGTTTCTATTTTGTTTGTTTGTTTATTTTGGTCTTTAGATTCCACATATAAGTGAAATCATATGGTATTTGTCTTTCTCTGACTGGTGTATTTCACTTAGCAAAATACCCTCTAAGTTCATCCGCATTGTTGCAAATGGTAAAGATTTTGTTCTTTTTTTCCAAGTAGTATTCCATTGTATACGTACCTCCACACTTTTTTATCCACTCATCTACTGATGGGCATTTGAAACTGCTTCCATATTATAGCTGTTATAAATAACTGCAATGAGTATAGAAATGCATACATTCTTTTGAATTAGTGGTTCGGGTTTCTTAGAATATATAACCAGAAGTGGAATTGCTCCTCAACATCACTAATCATCAGAAAAATGCAAATGAAAACCACAATAAAATATCACTTCAGACCTGTCAGAATGGCTATTATCAATAAATCAAAAACAACAAGTATTGGCAAGGATGTAGAGGAAAGAGAATGCTTGTGCACTGTTGGTGGGAATGAGGATTGGTGCAACCACTATGGAAAACAGTATGGAGTTTCCTAAAAAAATTAAAAATAAAACTGCCATATGAAATCTTCTTAAGTAACCTTGGTTCATTTGGCTGAACGAATATTTAAGAGCATAATACTGACCAAATCATGCTCTTGCTCCGAAATCTTGGCCTGCTCCTCACTGCCTATTGGGTAACATCCAGCATCTCTGGTTTAGTAATTAGGGCACTGGTTTGCCCTAGACTATTTTGCATGTGATTTTTATCTCAATATCTTCCCATACACCTAATTTTGCAACCAAGATACAGAATCAGCCTATTCTCAAAATGCCTTTATAATATAGATTAAAAAATATCTACATTGCTGGGAATCTTTTGTTGTTCTTCGCCATTTTTATTGCTAATAGCTCCCCCAACTAAAACTTGATTATTTTATTTTAATCTAACTTAGTACTTTATCCATGAGTATGCTTAATATTTAAGAACTACTTATAAAATTAATGCATTCAAATTTAACAAGAAAGGCATTATTATCAGAGAAATAGCTATTTTCAGTTCCTTACGTTAAGAGAACCCAACAGCATGGGTGGACCTGGAGACTATTATGCTAAGTGAAATAAGCCTATCTGAGAAAGATAAGTATTAGATGATCTCACTTATTTGTGGAATCTAATGAACAAAATGAATTGACCAAAACAATAAGACCCAAAGCATGGAGGCATGGAACTGACATACCTCAATGCGGGGGTGGAAGGGGGAGGCAAGGAGAGATAAACCAAAGAACTAATATACTTATATGCATAGCCCATGGACATGGATAATAGGGTAGTGAAGACCTGGCAGGGTGGGTGGGTAGGGGCTGGGTGGAAAGGAGTAAAGGGGGAGAAAGAGGGAGACATCTGTAATATTGTCAACAATAAATGTATATATTAAAAAAAGAGAGAGGGAACCCAACTTAGAGGGTGACCTAATTCCCCCATGAAGTAGGCACGCCATCTAGTGACAGCTCCCCCACACTACAAACCTTGCCTCAGACCTGCAAACCCGAAGATCCACCTTTAAATTTTCCTCAAGGAATATATCAAAACGAAACTTTAAAAAAAGATATAACATAGTGCCTTAAGAAAAAATATTGAATAATATTTTTTTGTATGGCATTAAAATTAAACCTGCATACCAATTAACTTAAGGTTGACTATATATAGATAAGTTCAGAGAAACAGAAGGACCTGAAGTTTTTATGTGTTGACATTAATCAATGATGTATTTGGATCCACTTTGAAAGAAGAAATTTTTTAAAAAATGTCTGTTACCTTGGCTGAATCTCTGATAAAGTGTGAAAAATTTCTTTTCCCCTAAGATGACATATATAACAAACCCTGCAGAGTATACTCTGAATAAATATTAGCTGAGGAGCAGCATAATAGTTCAGAGTAGCATAGACTTTGGGCCCAGATAGTCTGTTGTGACAACTTTCATGAACTGGAGCACAAAACTCAATTGCTCAGAAGAACTATTTCACATCTGGAAACATGGCAATAACAATATCTTCATTGTATGAGAACTAACATATGCAAACTATTTGGTCTATACCAGGTAATCAATAACAAGTGATCGTTTGGTTCTAATGATTATTATCCTTTTACCTTTGATAATGTGTACAGAGACATAAAACTGCTTTTCAAGCTTAAAAACTATTATTCCTAGGTCCCCAATTTCTTTCTTTATCATAGCATTTAGTGCACGTGTTGATAGACATCATGACTCTCAATACCTGGTGAGAGATACCATGCTTATTTAGTAAATATCTGACAACAACAATTACAAAATAAATTATCTATAGAACACATTAAAAACCTTTTATATCTACTATTTTTTTTAAAGTATTCAGAAAAAGTAAGTTGTTCGTACTTACAACTCTCCAGTTGCATTATGCACGTTTGCACATCCATCGGAAAATTCTTGAGATCCATTGGACAGGAAAGTGTTAATGTCAATCTGAAGAAATTCAAAGCAATTATTCTTAAAAAAAATTATGACATCCTATGAATGTTATATTGTTCAGGGTACAATTGGAAAGCAAAGTTGCTCTCAGTAGTGACTAATGTTTATTCAAATAAAATTTGTTCCAAGTTGGCTGTTATTTATCCTGAAACAGCTGTACCTTTATATATAAATCTGATTTGGGGGGAAGGGAGAAGAGCTGTATATTTAAACATCCAATCACATATATTTATCTATCCTTTTTTTCCCTTTAGAGATGGCTATAGACGTCTAAAAGAAGTCTTTATTTCCAGAAAAGACCTTCAAAAAAGAAATCTGAGAGTGAGATCGGTAAAATGAACACCAAATGCCAAAGAATACACTTCCCCCAAATCACATGGAGCATATTTGAGGAGGCAAGTATATCCTGGGAATTGGAGTTCTAAACGTGGTAAGTTGGAGCGCAGAGAAGCAATCCTGTGTGACAACCCCCTGTCATCTTTGTAACTGCATGAAAGAAGTTGTCACGAACATCCAGCAGTATTCAGCAAGGGAATAAACTCTGAATCTACTCCCTAGAATTGTCAAGTCCTACCTAGAACTGACAATTCTAGGTGATAGAGTGGGGTTTCCCATTGTGGGACTAGGGCATGTCACCAGGTCTTCTCAGGGTCAAGTAAGAGCCCTCTAGAATAGGTGTGACATCTTTCCATGCTCACCAAACAAACTTCTGATTTGGCTTCAAGCCAAGTGACTTGGATGGTGTACACCAGCACTTTCCCTCTTCCAGAAAGTATTTGGATGTAGGCATCCCAAACCATTCATCACTCTTGAATTTATTTATTTTTTTATTGGAAAAGTTTATTAGCAAGACATCTTCAGGGATTACCAAGACTTTATAGTTCCTGGACCTGAGAAAAATATGCCCAGATCTAATCAAACCCAAGTTTATTCAAAGCAAGTTTTTTCTGAGATCTCTCTGGCCAGCTCCTGTCATTGCAAGTATTCCCAGTGAAATTTGGTATATTGATGAGCGCCCTAGGCGGAGTTGTTTACTTAAACTTTATGACCATAGTCAGATTACTTCACCCCATAATGGTTCAGTTTTCACCTCTCTAACATGAAGAAATGACAGTATCTGCTCTGGAGAGATGTGATAAATATGTTAGTAATACATGGAAAGAACTTTGATAAGTGCTTACATGCAGCACTCAATAAATATTAGTAATTAAGGGTTACTAGTACATTCTACCACTCTCAGCCTTCCCTATCTCCCCCTCCACCAAATTATACAGGATGGGCTCAAAATGACTGGATTAAATCATAAAGCTTATATAAAAATATAAGCTTTTACAAAAGTAATTACCAGCTCTAGTAAATGGAACCACATTCTCCAAAATAGCATTACGATACAGACCATGCATTAAAGTTGTAATGGTGTGTGTTCTACAGTGAAGACTCTCGGTGAGATCCAATGAACGTAGTTTGAGAGACATAAATGAACAGACATGTGAAGCTGCTAAATGTTTAAGATTCCCGGGAGGGTCATTTGACAGTTCACTCCAGTCAGAGTCCATAACACATGAACATAATTCATAGAGTTCACAATTCAAAAGCAATTTTCTCCTGGCTCAGCTAGGTTGAGTGAGTCTGTAAGCATGATTTTTGTAGATTTGCAAAATCCTCCCTTAAAAAGGCAGTTGTAAAATCAGTTGGACATGATGTTCTCTGTCTTGAGAAAGGGTTTATTAGAGGTGTGTGCACAAGTACGTGTTGAGCGTATGCACATTAATTTTCCAGACATCCAAGGCCCACTGGCCAGCCAGCTCTAAATTTTGGCTTGCAGAATGAACTCTGTGACCTTTTGTACGGAAGTAAATAGCATTCTGAGAACCTTTTCCAGGCTCTCACCATGCATGTGATGTCAAATTCATATCCTGGCTATTTTTCTGGCATAAAATGAGAGACATTACATAATTCTTTTTTTTTTAAAAAGTGCTTGAAAAGAATTATTTGGGAAAGAAAAACACTGGAACTCGTCATAAATCACATCATGAAAAACATTTATTTATTGACACTCGTTTTGTTTATGACAGGACACAATTGCTTCTTTAACAGCACATGAATGAAAAAATGTGTGTCAATGTTGTGGGTGTGATATTGAATTTCTTCATCAAAACATTACAAGTAAATTGTGATTTGTCCTGATCACATCAAAAGAAAACGAAATCAAAAGGTAATTAATCACATTCTACTGTTTTGGAAATGAGAATCTTCTTTGTGTTGAGAGAGGACACTGAGTTCTCCTTCTGGGACAAGACACATAAACAGGATATGGCGAAGTCTTGGCTTAGTGAAGAAGTAGAAATGTTAAAAAGGACGATTATAATCTGTGACAATTGACCTCATTAAAGTTGACATATTACCCATTTTTTTGAGCAAGCACTGCCCTAGCGTATGCTGTCTATCTCAACCATTAATTGACGTATTAAAAAAATGCTTTGTCACTCAATTTTATGCTCTTTATGAAAATAAGAAGTATTTTTATGCGTTCCTAATATTTCTAAATTTAGTGTTATAAGGACAATGGCAAGCGTCCATATAGGGCTAATTTGAGGATTCTGGAAAATATCAGAATTTAAGCCTTTTTTGTGCTTTTTGTTTTGTTTTGTTCAGTTTAGTTTTTTGTTTTCTTTTTAGAAATATAAAATTAACAGCTCAATGCCTATTATATGCCAGGTAGTATGCTGGGTGCTCTACATATATTATTTCAGACACACAAACTAATCTATAGTGACAAAAAGCAGATCTGTAGTGGCTCTGAGATGGGGGAGTAGGACAGAGTTTGAGGGGCAAGGATTGTAAGGGTCATGAACTTTTGAGAGTGATACATACCTCCACTATCTTGATTGTGCTGATGATTTCATGAAAGTATAATACACATGTTGAAACTTATCAAATTGCATACTTTAAATATTTGTAGTGTATTACAATTCAATAAAGCTGCTTTTTAAATTAAAAACAAAAATTTATTTTTCTCAAGTAAAGAGACTTGCCCTAAATCACAGCTAGTAAACTGTAGAGGCTTGATCTGGGTTGGGAGACATCTTGCGAGGCGTACCAAGACCACAAGGCTTTGCTTATTCTTTTACCTTTGTCATTTCTTAGGGTTATCAATGCAGCTGCTAATTTTGATGGATGTGATCATGTTGTTCCTCAGGAGAAAGAGAAGGCTGGCTTGTATTTTGCTATAAAAGCCGTGCATTCCCCAAACTCCGTGTTTCAGAGCTGTGACACAGACCCATGGTGTGTGTTAAATTAATCTGGGCCTGTTGCATGGTTCCAATGAGACTTGAGGACAAGGGACAAGTAAGGCAAATACGGGGATGCTTGTGTTGCTTGCTGGCAGTGAGTAATACATTCCTTTGTCTCCGACCCAGGACTTTCGTGTCCTCAGTCAGCATCCGCTAGTCATATATTGGACTTGAATTGTTGTTCTGCTTTTCAAATAATTTCTCTGTTTCCTATTTCTTTGGTATCTTGCTTCTACTTCTTGGGAGACTCCTTCACTTCATCATTCCAAGTATTCTACTATCTGCCGATAGAGAATTAGAAACATCGATGAGAGAGAAACATCGATCAGCTGCTTCCTGCACACCTCCCACTGGGGATGTGCCTGCAACCAAGGTACATGGCCTTGACCGGAATTGAACCTGGGACCCTTCAGTCAGCAGGCCGACGCTCTGTCCACTGAGCCAACCAGTTAGGGCTACTATTTGTTCTTATGCTCTGAGTGACTCATTTTCCTTTCCTAGGAGTATCTTATTTCATGTATCCAGTTGTCTCATCTGTCCAGAGATTTTTTTTATCGTCTCTTCTGCTCCCTGCACTTCCCCTTAAGTCATTCATCTCTTTTTGTTTCTTTAATTTTCCTCTTTTATCTTTATTTTCTTTGCATGTTTCTTCTGACATCTGCTTCTTTTTTATTCTTGTTAATATTATAAGATGTCCTCAAATGCCTGTTTATATATAAGAACAAAGCACTAAAAACTATTTGGAGCTCAATTACTAGTGGATGGTTCATTGAGTAATAAATAGTCTTATCTGTAAAATGATTATATGACCACCCAGATTTTGCATTGGAGGCTCCCTAAATGTCGATATCTGTATTTTTTTTCTGTTGGGCAAGTTAATTTCTCCAGAGGCATATTTTTCTGACTACTGCTCAGTAAAAGCCACGGTCTGGTTTTCAGCATTTTAAGGGAGAATAAGGGTATCACCGTTTAGTGTATCCCTTGTAATCCTTATTTTCTTGATAAGATGCTTATGACAGACCCAGCTGTGCCTGGAGTCCCTACTTGTGAGGTTCTTGGCACAGGCTCTCTGAGGTTTTCTGTCTTGCTTTCTGCTCAGGTCAGAAGGCAAAAAGGCAGCCCCTCATCTAAAGGATATAGATGAGGAAAATCAGGAATAGAAAGCTCGCTGATGTTCCCACAAAGTTTAAGTTGATTCTTTTTCTTTGATCTCTTGTCTAGTCCCTACTTTCTGAAGTCCTTGCTGCCACAAATTTCTAAAAGTTTGAGGGTAATATGTCTTCCTTTTGAGTTCTCTCACTTTGGCGTACATTTCAGCTATCTCTGCCTGTTAAGTCAGTTTTCCCGAGTGCATTCACTTTCAAGCTTCCTAAAGTATGTTGTCATCATTCATCTGTCACAGTCTTCTTTTCCATTCCTTTCACCCTCCTGTTTGTCAGGGCCACTTTATTCCTTATTTAGTTTACTTCTTTATTTTAGTGGGTTGAACGAGAAAGTACAGATAAATGGATAAGTTAAATAGGTCGGGTTTGCCAGGACATTCTGCTTCTTTCTTAAAAACAACTAGGAAAGCCGGATCTCTCGTGAAACATCACAGATGCTCCATTTGTAAACTGAACGAGACTTTTTTTCCTAGCACAACTTTTGTTAACAAAGAAACTGTTTGCCAATTGAAGATTTCAAAGCACTGTGAGATTTCCAAAAACAACTCATAGAAAAACAAATTTAGTCTTTGATCATGTGAGCCAGGATATAGCAAACAAAAACTGGGAGCTGAGAGACATCATCCTGTTTCATCTGAATTCAGACCGAAAAGACAAAAATGCAATTCTGAATTATTCCATAATTTTCCTCAAAATATTAAAAGAAATGTGAGCAATTTATAATGGATAGCATTGTTTTCCAATTCCAATAAGATGATAAAAAAGTAAATATCCATAATCATATAGTGTGCACACACACACACACACATTATATTTCAATTCTATCAATGAAAATATTCTAGACATTATAACTTTTTAGATTTCCTGACATAATTTTTAGATTCCCTGAGCTGCTCTGACTATTATTATTCCATGCTATCTGGTGATATATTCTTGCAGCCAAAATCTGTCTGCAATGAAACAGTACCTTATAATTAAAAATAAATCATACATTTCACAAATTTTCAAGTTAACAGGAAAAATTTAACTTGCTTATTCGTAGCCTGTCATGGATTTTCTGATATCCATCATAAATCCAAAACAAAGAGGAATCAAGGATTATGACCTGGAGTTTCAATCTTTCATCAAAAAATATGTATATCTAACTCATAAGTAATACATAACTCTTTCTGAAGAATTCAAATAATATAAACTCACATATAATAAAAATTAATTATTCATAATCATATAGGACACACACACTGTATTTCAATTCTGTCAATGGAAATATTCTAAACATCATAATTGCAAAATGATTATTCCATTTCATCTAGTGATATATTCTTGCAGCCACCTTTATTCCTACCCAAATTCAATCACTTATTTCCATAGTTGGTTATTTTCTACCAGTTGTTGGGCATCCTTCTGAAGTCTTGCATGGATTTACATAGATGTGTATTTTTACATGCACAGTTATGCTTACACTAGAAGCCCAGTGCACAAAAATTTGTGCACTCAGGGGTCCCTCAGCCTGGCCTGTGCCCTCTCGCAGTCTGGGACACTTGGGGGATGACCACTTGCTGGCTTAGGCCTGCTCCCCGGGGGATTGGGCCTAAGATGGCAATCAGACATCCCTCTGGCAGCCCGGCAGCCCTCGGGG